ATTTTAAATATGAAATAATATCATTAAATTACATCAGCTATACATAATTTACTTGTTAACTTACTAATGTAATATTACTGGGGGCTAAAGGAACAGCTTAATCTTATTTAGCTGGCGATAAATAAAGATAACCGACTGCAATGAAATAAAGAGGACCATGGTCCTCTTTATTTCATTGCAGTCGGTTATCTCCAAAAAATGGTTAAAGTAAAAAAGTGAAAGTAAAGTTTCTGGATCCTTTTCAGCTGAGTTAGCTTGTAAGCTAATTTGCTAGCAGGCTGCTGGAGCAGCGCAACAGAACATAAACGTAAAACGTAAATAAGAAGTGCTCCGTAGGCCGCTCGGTCCAGCCTACTCGGTCTATGTGGGCTGCATCCTTCATGGACTGCGTAGTCCTCCGAAGGATGCAGTCCCTGAATTGAGACACGGCCATAGAAGCAAAACCTTAAAAACTGCTAATCTGTTAAGCATCTGTGAACCAGACAGATTATCTAAAGCAGCTAACCAAAAACCCACTTGACTTTGAGAACAAGAACCCAAAAGGTGCTAAAATGCTAACTCATTTTATGGATGTTGAACTCATTCCTGCTCCACTTTCAACCATAAAACGTTTCCTGTAGCCTGAACTTTACTCCCATTTAATCCAAATCACATGTTGCTCCTGAACTCCTTCCTTATCAAAGGTGATAAATTGTTGGATTAATTAAAGCCAAGCATTTTATTAAATCAAATTAAAGCTTGAAAGCTCTTCTGACAAATTATTTGTTTTAGTTTCTTACTGTACAGAGCATCACTACAAGCAGGGCCTATATACACACATACATGTATGAAAAGGGGTCTGCCATGAGCAGTTTGGGTTTCAATGCCTTCCTCATGGGCCGCTGGGTAGTAGTGAAGCAGAGATTGAATCGGCAAAGTTCTGATTCCCAAGTAAATTCCCAACAGACTGAGCTACTGCTTCACAAACAAATAAAACAATGTCTATCTAGGGGTCATTCAAGTCAGTTCCAGTTCCGTGGAGATTGTCCTCTTACCTTACCTTTTGTGGGATCTGAGCGAGGGCTGAGGCGATCATGTTTCCCTTCTCTGTAGTAATGTTCTTGATGAATGATCCCAAAGTGAAGACCACAATGCCAGCATCTCCAGAACTCTGCACAAATTCCTCCATATCCTGCAAAAAGAGAAACATTTCTTGATGCAAACCAACCAGCTCCGTCTTTTCTCAGCATTGTAATGGTCAATTATCTTCATTGCTTTAGTCATCAATTACCTCTGGTAAAGGTTTAGCCGGTCTGCAGTGGATTCCACCAACAAATTTGAAGTTGGGAAGGAAAGGACGAGGGAAATCAAAATCCCAGTCGGTTTGCATCAACCAGATATCTGCTCTACCCATCGTCTCACAGACGATGGGTAGGGTGGGTGTTCCTGTCGGAATGGAGGATATTGATATTGATTTTTATACAGCTTAGTATCATCTTTGTGATAATTACCAAAGTGAGAACAACCACGATTGGAAGTGAAATATTGCATATGGTCGAATCCTCATTAGACTCCATGAGGTCCATTAAAATAAGTGGTGTTTCAAAGCTCACCTTTGACTTCGGAGTAATATTTATCGCGTTATTTCCAAAAAATGTGGTGCTGTACAGTGTCTTGCAAAGCGTAGTAAAGAAAGTTCCACACTCTCTCTGAGAAGTCCATCTTGTCGGTCAATTTGCTCATAGCTCCAGGGACAAAGGAGGGAGGAGCAGGGAGCTGACCACAATATCTCTCCCAGTTGTGGGCTATGGAAAAGCGCAGAGTAGACCAGGGGGATGCCCAAAATCTCTGCAAGTAAATCACTGCCGGGGTAAACGGGGTCAGCCAGGAGAAGGTCATATTTTCCCTCCTTCAACTTCTTCATGATGGTTTCTGATTTTAGGACGCCATCCAACATTTTCAAAGAATTCTGCATGTTGACCTTCATCAGATCTATGAATCTAATGTAAATCTGCAAGTAGCTCATATGATCCATCTCGTAGACAGAGAAGTGAAGGAACTCTTCCATTAATGCCTCAATGGTTTCCTTTGAGACGGAGATGTTAAAGGGTTCATAGCCAAAGCGAGAAGGTTCACTAGAGTTCATGAACATGGAGGTGCTTGGGATCAGCACCTTCACCTGGTGTCCCCTGCCGACCAACGTCTCCAGCACAGGCTTCATGTTAATCCAGTGGCTGCCTTCAGTGTACCACACCAAAATGTTCCCTCCATTTGCGCTCCATGTCACAGTAAGTATCAGCAGGACACAAACGGAGAGATGCTGCTCCGGCTTCATGGTGCCTGTTTGTCAGGTCATTGAAGTCTGATCCTTTTCAAACATGCTACTAGAAAAGTAACCATTAACTAAACAAAGCTGAACTCTGGCTCTTATCTTCTCTTTTTCCTGTATGGCACATTAGATAACACACCCTACTGAAGGCAGTGGTCAGAGGTAAAAGGTTATGGGGCTTAACAAAACTAAGTAGTATTAGTAGCAATAAAACCAGAAATGTCCTTATTGGATTATTTGTTAAATACACACTGCAGATCCCCAGATTTGTGTTAAATGTCACATAGTGAAAATGCTGTTGTGCTACTCTTATTGTTGACAATGGAAAAGGTAACCCAGGACATACACTGAACAAAAATATAAATTTAACACTTTTGTTTTTGCTCCCATTTTTCATGAGATGAACTCAAAGATCTAAAACATTTTCTATATACACAAAATAACCATTTCTCTCAAATATTGTTCACAAATCTGAAAAGATCTGTGATAGTGAGCACTTCTCCTTTGCCGAGATAATCCATCCCACCTCACAGGTGTGGCATATCAAGATGCTGATTAGACAGCATGATTATTGCACAGGTGTGCCTTAGGCTGGCCACAATAAAAGGCCACTCTAAAATGTTCAGTTTTATCACACAGCACAATGCCACAGATGTCGCAAGTTTTGAGGGAGCGTGCAATTGGCATGCTGACAGCAGGAATGTCCACCAGAGCTGTTGCCCGTGAATTGAATGTTCATTTCTCTACCATAAGCCGTCTCCAAAGGCGTTTCAGAGAATTTGGCAGTACATCCAACCGGCCTCACAACCGCAGACCACGTGTAACCACACCAGCCCAGGACCTCCACATCCAGCATGTTCACCTCCAAGATCGTCTGAGACCAGCCACTCGGACAGCTGCTGCAACAATCGGTTTGCATAACCAAAGAATTTCTGCACAAACTGTCAGAAACCGTCTCAGGGAAGCTCATCTGCATGCTCGTCGTCCTCATCGGGGTCTCGACCTGACTCCGGTTTGTCGTCGTAACTGACTTGAGTGGGCAAATGCTCACATTCGATGGCGTCTGGCACGTTGGAGAGGTGTTCTCTTCACGGTTGAATCCCGGTTTTCACTGTTCAGGGCAGATGGCAGACAGCGTGTGTGGCGTTGTGTGGGTGAGCGGTTTTTTTATGTCAATATTGTGAATCGAGTGGCCAATGGTGGTGGTGGGGTTATGGTATGGGCAGGCGTATGTTATGGACGACGAACACAGGTGCATTTTATTGATGGCATTGTGAATGCACAGAGATACCGTGACGAGATCCTGAGGCCCATTGTTGTGCCATTCATCCACGACCATCACCTCATGTTGCAGCATTGTTACGTACTCTCTAGGGTAGAAGGAAATAACACACCCCAGTATGGAATTAGATATATTACAAGCGTTTATTTATATCTAATATATAGGTAGAAAATAATGAGGCAGGCAGCCTGGCACAAACAAAAGGCAAAAGAGTACAAAGTAAAATGAAGCTCAACAAAAGAGCCTTGATAAGTAGCCTACAATAACATGAATAGGCTGAACAGAAAGTAATAAATCAACCCTCTCTATAAGAAGGGAACAAAAATAACAAAAGAAGGCTGTTTAAGAAACACAGCTGTACATGGAGCAAACAATCAACACAACGCTATACTAGTAGAAAACACACTATATCATGTGACCCCAGTCAACACAATGCTAAGCTAACAGGAACACTCGAAAGGTACAAGTCAACCACCGTTGATGTAAATATCACAGCGAGAGCAGAAGTGTGAGGCGTCTGATTAGCACAGCAGACCCTCCCGAATGATGTCAGTCCGTCACTGATGTCACCGTTGATGTAAATATCACAGCGAGAGCAGAAGTGTGAGGCGTCTGATTAGCACAGCAGACCCTCCCGAATGATGTCAGTCCGCGGCCTTTGTACTCCTCCCCCGTAAGGTGTGCTGGATGGGTGCAGGGATTGGAGGACGTCGATCCAATCCCCTCTCCGGAAACGCGGGCGGGACAGCCAATGACATCTAAGGAACCTCACAGCTCATTTGCATACACACAGAACAGAGTTAATGACACCAGGGAGCCAGCGGCTGTAACAAGCATGATAATGCACGGCCCCATGTTGCAAGGATCTGTACACAATTCCTGGAGGCTGAAAACATCCCAATTCTTGCATGGCCAGCATACTCACCGGACATGTCACCCATTAAGCATGTTTGGGATGCTCTGGATCGGCGTATACGACAGCGTGTTCCAGTTCCTGCCAATATCCAGCAACTTCGCACAGCCATTGAAGAGGAGTGGACCAACATTCCACAGGCCACAATCAACAACCTGATCAACTCTATGCGAAGGAGATGTGTTGCACTGCGTGAGGCAAATGGTGGTCACACCAGATACTGACTGGTTTTCGGACCCCCCCAGACCCCCCAATAAAGCAAAACTGCACGTTTCAGAGTGGCCTTTTATTGTGGCCAGCCTAAGGCACACCTGTGCAATAATCATGCTGTCTAATCAGCATCTTGATATGCCACACCTGTGAGGTGGGATGGATTATCTCGGCAAAGGAGAAGTGCTCACTATCACAGATTTGTGAACAATATTTGAGAGAAATGGTTATTTTGTGTATATAGAATTTTTTTTAGATCTTTGAGTTCATCTCATGAAAAATGGGAGCAAAAACAAAAGTGTTGCATTTATATTTTTGTTCAGTGTAGGAAAAAAAAGATATGTGTTTTATCTAACATTTAAAGCTATTCTAACATTTTGTCAATACAGGGCACACTTCACCTGTGCTGTAGTTGCAATGAGGCTTTTCTGTTTTTGTTGGTTAAAGCCCTCTGGAGGATGTGAGCCAAACTTGAAAAACACATCAGTAAGGAGAAGTGTAATTACCACTCTAGGAAGCAGTTACCACGTAAGGTTAGTATACCATAGATTTATGCTTTAAAAACATCCTAAATATTTCGAGTGTGTATAGCTTTTCTTTATACTCTAAACAGAGTCCAGTCGTGAGAGGATAGATGCTGTGTGAAAGTCATGAGAGCACCCGAATGGCCAGTATTTTAAGGTAGGTAAAGACAGAGTGAGAGATTATTGCAAACTTTGTTTCTCTCCTAACATCTCCTCACATTGACCAAAGGGTGAATGTCTGATGATTTTGACAAGTATTTTGTTTCTTAAATCATATCTTTTCATTTTGTCTTCACAAGCAGTGTATGTGTGGGATCAAAATAATTATTAAACATGAGAATATAAAATAACACTTTTTTGTAACCTTTTATTAGTTGTTTCAACGTCTTTGAGAACAGGCCATTATTTATAACCCAGGGCATAGCGTTAACATTTTATGTTTTAGACTAAAAAGAATGAACAACCAGGCAGATTTCTGTATTCATCTGTTCTTTACCAGCTACATTTCAATTCAGTCGTTTACTCAGCCTTCGTCTTTGTCTTTCCCTTTCTGCCACAGCACCTACGGAAGCAGACACTGCAGGTTTTGATGAAGAGGAGTATGAGGAACAGAGCAATAGCGAGGAGGAAGGCCAAGACATCCAGGCTGTGATACTGGTACCAGGTGAGTTCATGGGCCTGGACCCTCAGGTGCTTTGCTCCTTTGTTTCTCATGGTGAATTCGATCCAGAACACCGCCTCATCCCGAGGACTCATTGGTCTGTCGTGGAAGATACTGGATAGCCTCATGGCATTCTCCTTGTACCTGTGAGTGTGGATATACAGATAAATTACTATTGGATTGTTACGTTTCTTCCCCTTACAAAGAGTGTTAAACTCTCTTGTTGACTGACATATTGAAGGACAGGGTTATAGAATATCCTTCATTATCTTTTATTACCCGTCAATTTGTTATTCAATAGGTTATATTTTAAAGCATTATTGCTTTTAATTAATTTACCTTTTTTTGGTAATATTTCTTTTACAAAACAAGCTGTTAGAATATGAAATATAAGTGCATGAAGAATAAAGATAAACATAGACCGTGCGGTCAGTTTTCATGTGAACACACAAAACAGATAACAAATGGGTTTCCCTGCACTGGCAGCAGAGGCCAAATGAAGCAGCCTTTTTGCCCTACAAACGAATATCTAAAAAACAATTTATTCAAAGGGAGTAAATCCTGCTGCATTGGGTGCCCTGTGAATTACTTTGAGTTGCCAGAGATCGGCCTCAGTCTGTGTATTTACCCTTCAAAATCACATACAGCCTTCAGAATTTTCAGTTAACTCGACTTTTGGTGTCATAATTTTAAAACCTAATCCCAACAACAATGCCAATATGAGAGGAAAAGGTCATCCATGATTTCGTATTGTCTTAATGACCTTGAAACACTGGTGTACATTTAACTGATATCCTAGCACTACATGTATAGCTCCTTCGAGGTATGTTGTCAAATGTATTCTCTTCAAAAAGCTATCTTCTTTCAATACCTTTTTATTAGACTAAAACATACCAAGATATATAAAATAACTTACGATTTCTCATTGATGACAGTGTTGACTGCATCTCTAAGGTCCTCGGTCTTCATTGAGTTAAATTCTACAGAAAGTGCAGCTCCTTTCGTCTTCATATGGACCATGTTGTGTGGCTGGTCACCAAACAAGGGGATGCCCACCATGGGAACACCGTGGTAGATGGCCTCATAAATCCCATTTGCGCCACCATGGGTGATGAAAGCTCTGGTCTTGGGGTGACCTGATATTTTACCAAAAAGAATGAAACATGTGTTACTCTCTTTACTCAGGACTTTCTCTAGAGCACATCTCTACTCTTCTTTATGATGTGACTGCTATACTATACAAACTGAACATTTGAAAAAGCTTGGGTTAGATCCCAAAGAGATTTTACAAACTCTGCAGAAACGACAATCAGGCACACAGGACCGGACCTCATGGTTTGTGCTTTTAGTACAGCTTTGAGACACTCTGGTTGTTGGTCCAACCCAGGCATAAGCTGTCCCAATTAAGTAAAACTAACGGTTGAGTTTGAATGATATTCAAAGAGATAGTGAGTAGGTATTCTCAAAAACATTGGAATGTTAACTCAACAACCTTTGCATTTTTGTTTTGTGTGCTGTTGATGTACATTTTTTTATCATAAAGAAATGTACAAAATAAATGGAATAAATACCAATAACATTCAAAATGAATTTGGCGTTTGGTAAGTAATTCTGTAGTATATGAAGTTTAAAAATGTTTGATACTACTGTATGATAAATAGAGAAAGGGACACAGCCTAAATTGTGTGGACCTACGTGTAATGTATAGGTAACTTTTCACTGGATAAATAAAAGTTATTAATTATGCATTTAATACATTTGTAAGGGTTGAAATATCCATTATTCAAAAGGACAACCTTTACCGAAATAGTATTACTATGTTTTCTGTCCTAGTGTATGTCTCTTTAGGATTTTGTACTGTGAAACTAAATTATGACAACAAATGTGGTGGATACCCATTTAAATGTGAAAGTCATGAATCTCTTTGTCAAAGGATTTTATTAAAGCTTTACTTACCCAGTAGATCATTTTGTGGGATCCAGTCGTATATTCTAGTGTTGGCACCCAGAGTCACTGGTTTTTCTCCACTGTATTTCCACAGCACCTTAAAACAATTTAAAGTAAAATAGTTGTATTTATCTCAACATTGTAAAACATTGAATTAGCAATGGTTGATCTTTGATTCTTAACTTGGCGGTTTTAGGGATCTAGTTAGTGGGACGGGTACCATAATTCGTTTTTTAACTTCATCTTAACCTCTCCCAACATCTTCCTAAATGTTACATTATTGTTAAGACTTTATTGTTCCTCCTTACCTTATGCCCTACACATCGGCAGGACCTATGCATTAAACCTTAGTTCTGGTTTGGGGTCCATCCATCATGCATCCATTGTCAACATCCATTAAACAAAGTCTGGTCGCAAAGGTAGCAGTTCCAGCAGATGGCCCAAACCTGCCTTTCCCAGGCAAACTTTTGACTGTTGTCCTTGCCTATACACCGAACAGCAGTTTTGTGTATTCGGCCTTCTTGGAGACCTTGAACAGAGTGCTGTATGGGGCACCTGAAGGGGACTACTTAGTCTTGTTCGGAGACTTCAATGATCATGTGGGCAATGATGTAGACTTTTAAAGGGGTGTGATTGGGAGGAACAGCCTCCCTGATCAGAACCCGAGCAGTGGATTATTATTCTGTCCTTGTCGTGGCCCATTCTTGTGGGATATCTAAAAACTGTGCCACGTCAACAGGGATCCGCTTCTTGACTCACACGTTAAAAACCATCCAAATAAAGCTCTGTAGGCGCTGATTTCTTTGCCTTCCTCGGCCGATTTATTTACTTCCATATATTTAAACAAACAAAACGATCAGTGTAACGTGAGGTCAAAGACTGTTCCGATTCCCCGTTCATTGCTGGAGACAATTTCCTCCTCACGCTCAGTCCCACCCCTTCCTTATATCACAGGTGTGGCTCGCAGTAAATCAAGGTTTTTCTCCGAATATTTAATTCGGTACTAATACATAAATGGAAAGAATATATTAAGATCAAAATTAATAAGAAAATAATACACTCATTGTCAACACAGAAAATGGCTCTAACATTCCAGCCCCTAATTGCATAGAATATAGCAATTACAACAAATAATAAATAGAGCCAATATTCAAAACAAATATTCATTTTCTTCTTGTCAGAGTTCATAGATGAGATTCTTCTGGAGTTCAAAAATCGATTTTTCTAGCTTCAGCCAGTAGTAGTCCAGTTCATCTCCAGCTTCCAGGAGCAAACAGAGTTTGTTGACAGGCCTCTGTAAAACACTTGTTTTTGTTTTAACTAGAACACTTCGGACAAGACCTTTACTTCCTGGCAGGGTCTTCAGAATCCGTCTTAGCACCCAGGAGTTTCTGGGAGCCGAATCGTCCACAATAACAACGAGATCTCCAGGAAGAAAGTTCCTTCTGATCTTATTCCATTTATTTCGCTGTTGCATTGTTGGAAGATATTCTCTGACCCATCTCTTCCAGAAAAGATCAGCCAGATATTGTACCTGTCTCCATTTTCTTCTTGAGTACAGGTCCTCCTTCACGAAGAGTCCAGGTGGCATAACAGGATGAGTTTTGAGCAGAAGCAGATGATTAGGTGTTAAAGGCTCCACATCATTCAAGTCATTGGTTATGGTTGTGATGGGTCTATCATTCATTATAGCTTCCACTTCACATAAGGCTGTTTGCAATGCCTCATCATCCATGACTTGTTCTCTTACCACAGAGCTCAGAATCTTTTTTTAGTGACTTGATGAGTCGCTCCCATACGCCTCCGTGGTGAGGGCCTGCTGCTGGGTTGAATATCCACTCGATCCCTTCTTGGAGAAGGTTGCTTTGGATTTTGTCGTGGTTTAGTTCTTTTAATGATTGTTCAAGCTCCTTTTGCGCACCAATGAAATTTGTACCTTGATCAGATCTGATGGTTTTCACAGTACCTCTACGACATAAGAATCTCCGTATTGCATTGATGCAGGAGTTTGTGTCCAAACTACTAGCCACTTCAAGGTGGATTGCACGGCTAGTAAGGCATGTGAAGATTACACCCCATCGTTTCACATTAGTCCGACCTCGCTTTATCTCAAACGGTCCAAAATAGTCCATGCCAACTGCAGTGAAAGGTGGCAAATCTGGCATCACGTGGTCCTGAGGAAGATCTGCCATCTTTTGCTCTCCTACTTTAGACTGCATACGTCTGCAGAAAACACACTTTCTGATGATCTTTCGTGCTGAGGAGTTTGCAGAGGACATCCAATATTTTTGTCCTAGTTTAGACAGCATGTAATTTCTTCCAGGGTGACCAACTTGGATGTGTATGTGTCTTAGAATGATTTCTGATATGTGGGATTTTTTGGGCAGGATTATGGGATTCTTAGCGTTTACTGGCATAGCTGATCTGTTAATCCTCCCCCCAACTCTCAGTATACCTTGATCAAGGATTGGGTCCATTTTTAATATAGGGCTGTCCTTTTTGCAGTATTTCCTTTTTTCAAGGAGGTTAATGTCCTGTGCAAAGTGTTTCCTTTGTTCAAATGCAAGTATGGCCATTTCAGCATTGTCCATATCTTCCACAGTCAGATTTGTGTTGACGGTCACTTTAAAGTTTATGGCCCATTCCTTCAGTGAATCATTACTCGGCAGCAATCCAGGGTTTGTCACCTTCCTTCTTTGAGTGATCTCCAAGAGCAATCTTTTCCATTTCAGGATCCAAGCTACAGCTTTTTTCAGGCTGTTCCAATCTGAGTAGTGCTCAATTAGTTCACTTGTGGGACTTTTCCCCTCAATACTCATCACATTTACAGTGACATTCCTTTTCACTTCAGGATCATCTGGAGAAAGAGATCGTTGTGACCTTTTGTCTGGGTTCCCTGGCCACTGAGACTCCTCCTCTTGCAGGAATTCGGGTCCATGTAGCCATCTTTTAGACTTTAGGAAGGCTTCAATGTTTAGCCCCCGGGAAGCATCATCGGCCGGATTTCGTTTGGAGTCCACATATCTCCACTGAGTCTCATTTGACATGTCGTGAATAACTGCAATCCGATTAGCTACAAAAGTGTGGAATCGCTTGGTTTGATTGCAGATATATTTAAGTACAGACTGGCTGTCTGTCCAAAAGATGGACTCTTGGAGGTTTAGCTGTAGCGCTGAGCATAACATCCGATCCATCCTTGCAGCTAGGGTGGCTGCTGTAAGCTCCAGTCTGGGTATAGTCATCTTTTTGAGAGGGGTTACTCTAGCCTTCCCCATCACTAAAGCAACATGAACTTCACCCAAACTGTTGACACATCTGAGATAACTTGCAGTGCCGTATCCTTACTCACTGGCATCACTAAAGTGATGCAACTGCATGGTTTCCACTTGGCCAAAATCCTCAGGTTTGAAGCATCTGCTAACCTGCAAATGTTTTAATTGTTCCAACTCAGTCAGCCATTTTTCATATGGTTTGGAGAACTGACCAGGGATTGTTACATCCCATCCACACTTAGCCTAACAAAGACCTTGGAGAACTTGTTTTGCCTTTAGTACAAAGGGGGCAGCAAGACCTAACGGGTCATATACTGAACTGACAGTAGAGAGCACAGCTCGTCGGGTAAGGGTCCTGTTTTTTATTGCAATTTGGAATCCAAATGTGTCGTCTTCAATATTCCAGTACATTCCAAGGGGCCTTTCCACAGGTAGCTTCTCTCTATCCAGGTCCAGTGCCTTGATCTGTTTGGCTTTGTATTCATCAGGTATAGCAGCCAGGACCGCACGGCTATTGCTAATCCATTTTGTTAGTTTGAAACCTCCTTTAGCACATAGTTCACTCAGATTCTTAGTGAGGATAATAGCTTGCTCTTCTTTTGCAACAGATTTCAGGCAGTCATCAACATAAAAGTTTGATTTAATGGTGTCAACTGCAATTGCGTCACTCTGGCTCTTATTATCTTCTGCTGTCTTTTGCAGGGCAAAATTGGCTCAGCTTGGTGAGGAGATGGCACCAAACAAATGAACTTTCATTCGGTATTGCTCTAAACTTCGGCTTGTGTCACCATAGAAATCTCTACAAGTTTGTGTCTTTTTCGTGAACTCGAACTTGGTGGAACATCCCTTCAATATCTGCCATGATGGCAAACTGTTCCTGGCGAAACCTCAGCAGAACGCCAAGAAGTGAGTTGGTTAAGTCAGGTCCTTGTAAGAGTTCATTGTTGAGTGATGTTCCTTTGTATGAAGATGTACAATCAAATACTACTCTTAGTGTATTTTTTCGCTTGTGGTACACCCCATGGTGGGGGATGTACCACACCTTGCCATCATTTGGATGAAGGTCCTTTGATGGCACCTTTTCTGCATAGCCTTTTGTGATTACATCTTCCATGAAAACCTTGTACTCTTCAGCATAAGCAGCATCCTTCTTGAATTTCCTAGCAAGGTAATGTGCTCTTTGCTCAGCTATATGGTGATTATTGGGCATGATGACATCACTATTACGAAGTGGCAACGGTAGATAATAGTGATTATCCTTCAGTGTAGCTGCACTTGATACCAGCTGCATGAATTTACTTTCTTCAGCTGACATTTGAAGTTTTCCCTCATATTCTCTCTCTGGGAAATCATGATGATAGTGATTTACAAGAAGCTTTTCCAGTTGTTCAATTGAGATGCGGTTTACTGATGCCACTGGTCTTCCAAATGTGTCCACAGCTGTAGTTGAACTAAGCGGTCCATTGACGACCCATCCTAAGAGAGTTCTTACAGCATAAGGACCATTACCTTGGCTATTTATGATTTGCCAGGGCTCCATTGCCTTTGGGACATCTACTCCGATTAAGAGTTCCACGTCCGCATCAATTTCTTGTAGTTGTATTTCCTTCAAGTAATGCCACCTGTTGAGATCCTTTTGAGAGAAGAGGTTTCTCTTTGTCACTAGTATCTTTGTTTGTGTGTATGTCTTCTGCAGATCAATACAGTTATTCCCATCCAAATCACCCACTTGTAGTCCAGTTATTTCATAACTATCCACTGGTTTCTTTTGACCCATTGTTTGCAGGAGAACTGTAGTCTTCCGTCCTGTTGTATTCAGCCGTCGCATCAGATTTTCTGTGCAAAAGGTTGATGTGCTGCCAGGATCAAGAAAGGCATATGTTTGTATAGTTTTGCTGCCTTTGGAAACTTTTATTTGTACTGGTACTATTGACAGTTTGCAATATTTTCCAGCCCCGATGTCCTCTTCTTTATCCAGAACGACAGGAGTTCCACTGACTGATCGTTTAGTCCAATTGGTCATGTGGTCGTTTTCATTCTCGGTTGGTTTATCGATGTGTAGAATGCTAGGGTGCTTTCCTTGGCAGTGTAGGCATGTACTCCTTTTCCTACACGCTTTGCTCACGTGTCCCCTGGTTAGACATCCAAAGCATATGCCTTTTTCCTTCAATAGTTGCACCTTTACATCACGTGGTTGCAGCTTTAATATTTCACATTCATTTAGCGAGTGCTTGCCTTTCTTGCAAATGCAACAATTACCATCCCACCTATTTGTAACCAGGCTTTCAGTTCGTTGATAGCTTTTTGGACTTGCAGTGTTACAGTTCCTCGTTTCTATTGCCATGGCAAAGCTACTACTTTTACCTCGTTGGTTGATTTGCTGTTTGGAGTAGGATGTAGTAGCTTTTGGGATGGCCCTCTGGGATGGCATAACATCATGAATATCACTAAAGAGGGGATCTTGCAGAATGCTGGCTTGCTTTTCCATAAACACAACAAGATCAGAGAACGTGGCCCTTCTTTGGTTTCGTTCTAGAAGCTCGAATGCTGTATTTCTCCACTTTTCCTTCAGCTTGTATGGCAGTTTTGACACAATGAGCTTTAAAGTAGATACAAGATCCAGTTCTTCCATGCTTTTTTAGTTCCTTCATAGCATTGCAGCATCCTCTCAGGTAAAGGGCATATGCATGTAATGCTTTTCCATCATCAGGTTTAATCATGCTCCAGTTGAGGGCTTTCCCCATGTAGGCATTTGCAATTTTCACTCCATCTCCAAAGTGAACTTTCAGAAGTCTTCGTGCCTCAGCATAACCTCTCTCTGGTTCCATGTGAAAGCAGCTCCTCACCAGTTCCCTAGGTTGGCCACTAGTGTATTGTTCAAGGTAATAAAGTCTATCATCATCACAACTAGTTTTATTCTCAATGCCATGCTCGCATGAATGTTTGGAAACTTAAAGGGTCACCATCAAATACAGGTATTTGTCTGGAGGGAAGTGAGGATTGTTTCTGATGTAACATTAGTAAATCTGCAATATCATTTTGCCTCTGGATCACAGTTACCAAATCTCTACTATGACTACTAGAGTCTGATTCCTCAGAACTTTCACTCCTTGGTGGCTCTGATGTTCTCGGGCTCAACAGTGGAGCTGGTTCAGAGGGGTCTAATGCAAGTGCAGGTATTTGAGCTCTGGGTTGGCTGTGAAGTGATGTTTTAGCAATGTGGCTTGTCAAATATTCATTCATTCCATCTCTTTCCTGTACTGTAGAATGTCTTTCAGGGCCCACATAAAAACTGTCAAACACCTTTAATTTGGCTTCAGATTCGGCTATATGCTCCTCCAGTTCCATTCTCTCCAATTCAGCTTGTAATCTGCTTTTCTTCATTTCCAATGCCTGTTTCTGTTTTAATGTGGACATCCGTGCTTGTAATGCAGCTTTCTCCGTGGCTACTTTAAGATGAGCTGAGGCTATTGAAGTTGCAGATTGTCTTGTTTGTTTTGAACATTTTTGATATCCTAGACTCATTGGATACATTGGAGATACTATCATGAGGATTAATAAGCATCTGAGGGTCTGGTGGAAAAGTGTTCCATGAATCCACTTCCTTTAGGAAATTCTCAAATGTTTCCATTTTGGGCTCATACCAGTCCAACGTCTCATTTTCCTTTATTTCAGAAGGTAAGAGCATTTGGACAGCAGCATGAGCTTCTTTACATTCATCCAGAGTCACTTTTAATTGTTCCACACCTCGTAACACCCTTTCACTATTTCCACTATCAGCAAGCAGTGGTCTGAGTTAATTCAGATTACGCGTGCACGCGCCCAGTTTCCCTCTGCGCTTCGCACTGAGAGTTTTTAACTTATTCTCTATTTTATCAGGTTCTTCAACCATCATGACATAATTTCCTTGTCCTTAGGATAACAATTTATCAATTATTTTGATCGTTCAATCCGCACTTTAATCCAAACATTGCGTCGTCACAAACATTTCTCTCTGCTCCATTCCGTTTCCTTTTATCTTGGCAGGCATCCAGCATATATCCACATCCCGATCATGTTTAATGTCTTTCTTCTGGCTTAAGGGTTCATCTCATTCCTAATATTAGTCCATTTACTCACTGTTCTTGATCCGTCCTTTGTTTACTCGCGGCCCTCCGCATGGCTCAACAGCTGATTGTTGCGCAATCCTTACACTCTGTCCACGGAGTATCCTTCTTCCATTCACAAATAAAAAAAACCGGGATTCCAGTCAGCGATGCGTCCTTAACATCAGTTATTACAGCGGTCCGGAGTCTTTGACTATGTCGTGGCCCATTCTTGTGGGATATCTAAAAACTGTGCCACGTCAACAGGGATCCGCTTCTTGACTCACACGTTAAAAACCATCCAAATAAAGCTCTGTAGGCGCTGATTTATTTGCCTTCCTCGGCCGATTTATTTACTTCCATATATTTAAACAAACAAAATGATCAGTGTAACGTGAGGTCAAAGACTGTTCCGATTCCCCGTTCATTGCTGGAGACAATTTCCTCCTCACGCTCAGTCCCACCCCTTCCTTATATCACAGGTGTGGCTCGCAGTAAATCAAGGTTTTTCTCCGAATATTTAATTCGGTACTAATACATAAATGGAAAGAATATATTAAGATCAAAATTAATAAGAAAATAATACACTCATTGTCAACACAGAAAATGGCTCTAACAGTCCTAGTCATAGATTGGCCATAACAAACACCAAATTCGAACATAAGGTGGCTCATAATTATACATAGTACCACGGCAACATAGACAGAAGGCCGATGATCGATTGCATCATCGGACCTGAGGTCGTATGTCTTGGACACTTGTGTGAAGAGAGGGGCGAAGCTGGCAGTTGGCAAACCTGGTAAGCCCAAACATGTAGTGCGGGTGAGCTGTGACCGTTTAAACTAAAGCCTCTATGCTGAAGGTTCTGCTGGGGGCTGTGGTTTGAAGGTGCAGTGACCCTTGAACATCCTAGTGGACAAAAATGGTCAGGGAACCCATCGCACTGAAAAAGGAGGTCTTCTGCCATATGTTATCCAAGAGGAGTCTGTAGGTGGTTGCAAGGTACTGACAGGCCCGTCTACATGTGTTTTGTGGATTTGGTTAAGGCTTATGATCGGGTAGGTTGGGAAATACTGTAGGAAGTGCTGTGGGAGTATGGGGTGAGTGTCAATGCTCAGGGCCGTCCCATATCTGAACGCCCAAAGCAAGAGCTGTGTCCTCTGCAGTGAGTAGGCCTAGTTTCCGGTGAGCATTGGCTTCCATCAGGGCTGCGCTTTGTCAACCATCATGTTTGTGACTTTCATGGACAGGAACTCAACGCAATTCATGGGGAGGGGAGTTGCAGTTTGGTGTACTTAGTTATTGCAGTTCTGCTCAGATAATGTTGTTCTGAAGGCATCACTGGTTTGCAACCTTCAGCACTCATTACATCGGTTAGCATTTGAGTGTGGAGATAAGGATCAGCTCCTCTAAATCTGAGACTATGGTTCTCAGCAGGACTGTCTACTGCTACTTTGGAGTAAGTCCTCACCCAAAGTGAAGGATTACAAGTAGCAAGAAGTCATTCAAGTGAATTCCAGTTGGCACAAACAGATTGTCCTCTTACCTTTTGTGGGATCTGAGCGAGGGCTGAGGCGATCATGTTTCCCTTCTCTGTAGTAATGTTCTTGATGAATGATCCCAAAGTGAAGACCACAATGCCAGCATCTCTAGAACTCTGCACAAACTCCTCCATATCCTGCAAAAAGAGAAACATCATCTTGATGTAAACCATCCAGCTTTTTCTTTTCTTTCTTTTGTGGTTTTTATCATTTAAAAGGAATCAAATGTTGTTGTTATTGTTTGGAAACACACATCACTCAAAGTTGCCCTCTTCTGCCCAGCTCCACAAGTGAAAAATAAGGAGACATGTCAGGAACAAAGCAGTGAATCAGGTTACGTTTTCTACTTTTTTTTAAAAATAAAGTAAAATAAGAAGAAAATGCATGTGACACACTTCTGATAGTGATGATTAAGGGGAATTATTGTTGTATAAGTCTATAGGCCTACATGTTTTTAAGGAAATACCACATAATATGTATATATATATTAGGGGTGGGGGAAATAATTGACACAGCATGGTATCGCGATAATTTGCGTGGCGATATTGTATCGATACACGGATGCCAAGTATCGATATTTTATTATATAAACTTTTTTAATTTTTTATTATTATATAAACTGTAGCATATCCCTCCGAAAGATGGTCGTACACTTGACTGATGATTTCTAATTTATTGAAAACTCCAAAAACCAATGTAGCCTAAGAGCTACACAAAGACACAAAACAACAAATACATTTAAGTTACATCCATATGAGCATTACTTTAGCATACCATTCAAAAAGTGAACTTCAAATAGTTAACAAAGTTATAATACAGTGTATATATATAAATTGAAATGTTGTTATCTCCGTTAATATATACTTCATCTCCGTTATTTTTCTCCGTCAAGTTTTTGCTTTGGAAACAGTAACTTCCTGCCAATTGCGCAAATTCGCCTTCAAAATAAAAGCATGTCTATAATATAAATCAGGAAGTTACGTTAAGACATGTATACAATTACAATGAAAGTAACAAAAACAATGCCATCTCCTTTCAGGTTCAAAGAACACAAATTGGGTTATTTACATAAAGTATTCATATTGCAAATACATTTTTTAACCAGGAAGGGAAGACGGACAGGGATATGACCCATGTGATTTGCAATATCGCAATATATCGTATCGTAATACTTAGCATATCATAGAATCGCAATACTATCGTAACGTGGCTTAAGTATCGCAATAGTATCGTATCGTGAGGAGTCTGGTGATTCCCACCCCTAATATATAAATGCCTGTGATATTGGAGATAGCCCTACCTCTGGTAAAGGTTTAGCCGGTCTGCAGTGGATTCCACCAACAAATTTGAAGTTGGGAAGGAAAGGACGAGGGAAATCAAAATCCCAGTAGGATCGCATCAACCAGATATCTGCTCTACCCATCGTCTCACAGGCACTGGTGGGTGTTCCTGTCACAATGCAACAGTTAATATTTATAAAACACATTTTATGAAGCTAATTCTTATATTTCATATGAAAAATAATATATAAGTAACTTTGATTGCATATAAAAGCATTGCATTTGATCAAATCATCATTAGACATCATAAGGCCATTAAGAAAATCTGCTGTTACAACATTTTTCCTTACCTTTGACTTCGGAGTAGTATTTATCAATATCTTTAAAAAAAATGTTACTCATCACAATGTCTTGCAAAGCGTAGAAGAGGAAGTTCCACACTCTCTCCGAGAAGTCCATCTTGTCGGTCAGTTTGCTCATAGCTCCAGGGACAAAGGAGGGAGGAGCAGGGAGCTGACCACAATGTCTTTCACAGATATTGGCAATGGAAAAACGCAGAGAGAACACCAGGGGGATGCCCAAAATCTCTGCTACTAAGTCACTGCCGGGGTAAATTGGGTCAGCCAGGAGAAGGTCATATTTTCCCTCCTTCAACTTGTTCATGATGGTTTCTGATTTCAGCACGCCATCCAAGACCTTGAAAGTATAATGCATGTTAAGCTTCATCACATCTATGAATCTGATGTAAAGCTGAACATAGCTCATATTATGCATCTCGTAGACAGAGAAGTGAAGGAACTCCTCAAAAAACTCTTCAATGGTTTCCTTTGAGACGGAGACGTTAAAGGGTTCATAGCTAAAGCGAGAAGGTTCACTAGAGTTCATGAACATGGACGTGCTCGGCACCAGCACCTTCACCTGGTGTCCCCTGTCGACCAACGTCTCCAGCACAGGCTTCATGTTAATCCAGTGGCTGCCTTCAGTATACCACACCAAAATGTTCCCTCCATTTGCGCTCCATGTCACAGAAAGTATCAGCAGGACACAAACGGAGACATGCTGCCCCGGCTTCATGGTGCCTGTTTGTGAAAACCAAGCAATTGGTTAGAGGTAAAAAAAAGCAGTGGCTGTCTAGTTAATGTTCAGAGTTGAAAACAAAAACAAAATTGGTCTCTAACCTGTACTACATATCCTAAATCGGTAAGTAAAAACATAACCTAGTTGTTACTGCAGAGAGACTGAATGCAATAACAGACAGATAAGGATTCCAGCCAAGTGAACTTCGACACACTGAAGTAATTTGAGTGTGTGTGTGTGTGTGTGTGTGTGTGTGTGTGTGTGTGTGTGTGTGTGTGTGTGTGTGTTGTGTGTGTGTGTGTGTGTGTGTGTGTGTGTGTGTGTGTGTGTGTGTGTGTGGTGTGTGTGTGTGTGTGTCTGAGCTTGTATTTTCTTGTGTAAGAATTTCCGCACATACCACTGTATTGTAGGAGTGGAAGTATGACCACAGATGTGTTTTTTTTGTGGGAGGGGAAACATTTCAAAAGCAGCTTCCTCAAAGTTTTTTTCAGCAGTTTGTTCTGAAATGTCTTGTCCACTATTGGATAATTTCTTGGATTTACCTAAATACGTTTTAAAGTTTGGTGAACACATCATCAGTTCAAATGTTCTCTTTTGTCTAATAGTTAGGGTTATGACCAAATACCTTTTTTGTTATAACTCTTCTCTGGCTGTGTGTGTGTGTGTGTGTGTGTGTGTGTGTGTGTGTGTGTGTGTGTGTGTGTGTGTGTGTGTGTGTGTGTGTGTGTGTGTGTGTGTGTGTGTGTGTGTGTGTGTGTGTGTGTGGCCTAGCATTACTATACTTGTGGGGACCTAAATCTGTTTACACAGTCACGTGTGGGGACTCGCCTCCCTTATGGGGACAAATTGGAGGTCCCCATGAGGGGAATCATTAATTTTAGGGTGAAGACTTGGTTAGGTTTAGGATTAGGATTAGGGTAAGGTTAAGGGTAAGGATTAGGGTTTGGCATGTGTTGGTTGTGCTTAAGGTTAGGATAAATCTCTAGGAAATGCATGTAAGTGAATGTAATGTCCCCTGAAGTGATGTATACATGGTATGTGCGTGTGTGTGTGTGTGTGTGTGTGTGTGTGTGTGTGTGTGTGTGTGTGTGGTGTGTGTGTGTGTGTGTGTGTGTGTGGTGTGTGTGTGTGTGTGTGTGTGTGTGTGTGTGTGTGTGTGTGTGTGTGTGTGTGTGTGTGTGTGTGTGTGTGTGTGTGTGAGGAGCCGTTACGTCACTATACTCAGAAAAATCTCCAATGAGGCGTTCTGGGGCAGCATAGACAGGTCTTTTCTGTGTTAGAGTCTTACTCGCTACAGGGTGTACTTTGAGGGTTAGTGACTCTGCAGACCGTTTACATGCATAAAAAACACAAGGGGATGGGTAATAACCAGAAAAAGCATGTCATGGGACCTTTAACATGGTGGTGTAGCATTTAGTTCTATTAATTGCTGTGCATAAGTACAGCCTCACATAATTGACAGTGTGGCGTGTTTTCAAAATGTATTTAGCTGTAGGAAGAGGCAGCTGATTTCAGCTCAGGGGTCAGGTCGGTGTTAATATTCGGGAGGCGGGGGTGGTCGACCATGCCTTTAGGAATCAGTGGCGTTGAGTCTATGCTGTTCTTGGGAAATGTCACCAGCGACTCTTTGGGTGTTTAAATCTAAACTCTGGGTACTCAGGCCCCCTCATTAACATTGTAGATTCCTTTTGACGCTGGATTCAGGAGCGTCTGGAAAAACAATAAGCATTTGAATATTGAATTCAATGCCCTGTTGAGGGAGTCAGTGCCATTCAGAGTGTGTAAGTGAATCGTCCTCAGACCTCCCCTGGTGGCATAGAGGATGTGTGAGAGAAAGTAATGGTCGGTATAACAGCTTGTTCAGGGTTCATCATTGAGTCTAAATGTAAAATTCCAGAGAAAAATGAAATACAAGCGTAAAATACTATGATTCCCTCTCTACATTCCTGCTGCTTCCTTCCTTCCCTGCTCTGTCTTCCCACCACAGGGTAAGGGTTACAGCGCATTGCTTTTTGAAGTAGATATTTGCATAATCAGATTAGGATGCGTGATTGTCAGTGGGCTCCCCCATCAGAGGGTGCTCCAGAGGAGAGAGGGTGCTGTCCAGCCCAACAATGGATAACTCCCCTCCTCTCTCACCCTCCAACCCGCCTGCACCTGCATCCCACCCAGCCACCCGGGTTGCTGCATGGTCGGCCGTGGCGGCAGTGCACGCTTGGTCTTGCAGCCATGGAGGGGGAGAGATAGAGTGGGAGGAAAAGGGAAGAAGGAGGGGGTTTGAGTGCATGACGGGAGTGGGAGGGCAGGGGTTGAGCTGAGATATTTAAACATGCAGAGTGTGAATTGGCTTTAAGGGGATAAAGAGCTCAGGGCCTATCGGTTGGCACCCAACTCCAGAAATTCTTTTTCATGGGCGCCTCAGCCGGGAGAGCGAGGGGCTGCCTGCACTGATCTGGTCCATTGTGATAACAGATTCAGACAGTGTGCTAGACGCTGATAAGGAAATGTGCTCTCAATAGACGATTACCCACATACTTGGGAGAGAATAGTCAATCAGGCAAATATACTTGGTAGAGGGAAAGAGACGCGTACAGATTTGTTATTATTTTCAATGCAGGGTTTCATAATCCTGCAAAAGTTGAGGTCAGGGTAATTCTCATATTGTGATTGGGTGATTTCTGTAAATAAGGTGTATCAGCAAAATGCATTACACTGCCTGACAGCATGGATGTGTGGAAAATCTGTCACATGCTATCCCGTTTCTAAACATGACTGAATATTTAAACATAAGTGTAAAATACAACAAAACCTTCAACATACAAAGGATTCAGGTTTTAAAAATATAGTATCTCACATTGCCTGGTAGTTCAGTTATTAATAACCAGAGTAGTTTTATTTCAGTTCACCATGAAATTGCTCAATTTACTGTGAAATTGCACAAGAGGTAAATGCCTCCCAAATTGATGCTGGGGGAGAGGCACACCGATGCTGTACAGTTGTTTTCACTCTCCCAATATGATTTATTTAGTGTGTTTGCAGCATTACAAAGAGTCACCTGTCAGTTCCCACAGGCCTCCAGTCAGTGTATCCAGCTGCCCTCTGCTCCGTTTACACACCATTAGCCAGAGTTTAACAGTGGCAGTGAAAGGGCTCCAAACCAACTCGGTGTTTACTCTTCAGCTCAGAAAGTTGCACCCTTTTGGCTTAAAATGTGGCACATTTTCCACAGGCACAATAGACGATTAGGCATGTCGATGTTTGACCTCTAGAAAACAAACAAGAAGACGGGTGCAAACAAACCTGCTGATATTCCAACTAAAGCTAAAACACTTTACATTACAGTGCGTTCGTCATGTTCTGGACTGACAAAACATTGATCAACTGTTTTGATAATTCATTATCAAATAAAAAAACATGCCAAATGTTTGTTTTTCTCCCTTTTTGAAATTAATATACATCGAAAAAACAAGTAATTTCACATTTTAACTTTGGCAAATTATAATGGGTTTTTCTCACTTTCTTCTGACATTCTACAGACTTACCAATTCAACAATTAATTGAAAAAAATGGTTAAATCAAAAATGAAAAACAATCAGCACTTGGTTGCGCAATTTGAACTTTGGTTGATTTTTAGCTTTTATTTATTTTTATAGTTTGAGGTTTTTTTCTATAGGAACATTTATCAAAATGCACAGTAACATTTTGTATATTGATGCATTGGATTTGTAACCTTTTGTGGATGATTCCCATACAACATAAATGAACTGGTGGCTTCTGTCAGTTATCTTTTTCTAAAACAAGTTACACTCAAAGTTCTGCCTACAGTGCTTCTTCTACGTTTTCCTGAAGCGAACTACATCTGCACATTGGTCAACTGGACAGTGTTTGACTCCAGAGTGACCTCCGACTCCCGGGGTCACAAGTTAAGCTGTCACTTTCAGCGCTCCTCTCACAGACCTCTGGTCAGTGGACAGAGAGCAAAGGTCAGCTCTGTGTCCACACGGTCATTACACGACCTGCGGACAAATGTTTCTGGGATATTGAGCATGAACAAAGAGGCGGTAGCTCCGCTCTTAACTTCACATCAGCTGTGTTTTACACAGGGAAATGATTTCATTGGAGACCAACATGATGTACCAATTCCACACTCATTGTAAATGTCTCAGTACATTATATATTTGCTGTTACTATGCAATCTACATTTTATCCAAGTCTATACAAACAGGAAATGACACAATATTGCTGTTGATGCACATCAATCAAACTGTTACTGAGGTTGTTTATCCAAGGATTTAATTGGTACTTTATTTTATTTATTTTAGGTGTTTCTGGTCTTGTTTTACCACCATTTTTCTTTCCAGTCACTACGCTATTTCACCTGTCACTTGTTTTGGGTAAACGCTTTTTACCCAAATTTGTGGGACAATTGTGTCCTTCAACACAAATAATCTGTTTTAGTATGTATAATGGGAGTTTTGGGCAATAACATATACATATAATTGCATTTCAAATTGTATATAACGCCACGGTTAAAAAGTGTCAGATTCAGTAAGTAGTTTAAACTCTACCCAAAAATGTAATCTTTCGTAGATCTTGAAGTTTCCAGCTGTAAGAATTACAAACAATTAGTGACCTCTTTAATTAGACAGAAAGTGTTTTTTTAACAAATCATTTATTAAATAAATAGTTCAAATAAATACGATACTGTATATATTAACAAGCACACCAAAATAACTTAAAAAGGAGGTATAAGAAGATAAATAGCACTCTTCACAGGAGACAATCAATTCATAATCTTTGGCTATATGACATGCGTATTTTACAAAAGCTCAAATAAACACATTTAAATTAGAAGACATATGCGTTGTAAAGGATGTAATTAATCGAAAGCGGATTGTCATTTTTGACATTTCTCAACCCAATCCTAAGAAAACAAATTGGTCTTCAAGAAACACTGATAACTGTTGTGTAATACTGTATGTGTGAGAAACAGCAAAAGTCTTTCAAATAACTGATTCTTCTGAAGTCACATAACCTTTACAAACAAAAATAAAGGTCAGATTTAGTCTTCAAAAAACAGCATGTCGTAGAAAAAAGGAGAAAAAAAGTGCCCTTGGCTATTTTGAGACGATTGCAGTCTGGAGAATTGGTGAGCCATTATCTATTCAAGTGCTGAATCTATTGCTTGAAATGAGAAATTCCTTAATCCCCTCCATTTTCCTCATCGGCAAAACACCCTGTCATTGCAAAACTAATTTAGTTCCAGGCGGGCATTAACATGAAGACATGAAGGGAATATTGTACATCCAGGCTTTTACACATCCATGCAGAATACAAATTCATTTTCACCCGCAAATCATATTTGAACACTGATCAGCGTGGAGGCTGTACCAACATTTTCAGCGATGTTTGGAGCCCACATCTATCACACAATATTGGGTCTTCTGCATTGAAACACGCACGGGTGACAAATGCAGACAAAAAGAGTCTTGAGAAAAAACAAGAGCAGTTTGTCAAAACCCCATAAAGGGTCAGAAGGTCCACTCGAGAGTTTCCTTTTTTTGTGTTTTCTACCAGGCCTCGGAGCTGTCGCAGCTGGAGTCAGGTGATGGGACCTCTGTGTCGCTGGTCATGGCCCAGGGGTGAGGAGGGGAGTTCAGCTGCTCCATGCTTCCTCTGAGGAAGGTGAGCAGAGCGGTGGGGGAGTGGCTGGCCGGCAGACCGGTCTGGCTCTCCAGCAGCTGCACCAGGAAGGTGATGTAACGCATGGCCAGGCGCAGGATCTCGTTCTTGCTCAGCTTCTTCTCCGGAGGATGGGTGGGGATGAGCTTGCGGAGCTCCGTGAAGGCGGTGTTGACGTTGTGCTGCCGCCAGCGCTCCCTCGTGTTGGTGAACACCTTCCTGGTCATGGTGCTGAGTTGAGCTGCAACGATTAATCGAATTATTGATTAGTCGATTGATAGAAAATAAATCAGACTATTTTCATAATTTAGAAATTGTTTTAGTCTATTTTTTTAAAGCAAAAAAATTCCCAAACATGCCCAAATTACAGCTCCTTTGTGAATATGTTAGGCTTATCTTTGTCATTAATGATAGTAAACTAATTTGATCAGACATTTAAAGATGTCACCTTTGGGAAATTAGAAAGGGCACTTTTCAATTTGTTTTACATAATAATAATAATAAGAGTAATGAGCAGAATCACGGTAAACAATCTTAGTTCTTAAGTGACTGACGGAAAGGAAAAGGATGGAATATTGGCCAAGGTACTGTAGTACTTTTCACAAAACGATACATTTTTATTGCACCAATTTACAAAATCCTTCAAGAATATTTACCAAAATCTATGTCGCTGTTTTCTGCTCCTTACTGCAAAATACAACTCTAATGTATTATCTTTTTCTCACAAACAGACATTCCTTCATATTCTAAAGGCTTATTTTGGAAATGCTTTAACCATACTGCATTATTAAGTGTTTATAAGCAGTATATACATTACTGATGGCTTTAAAAGATGGCTTTTCACATAGCGTACGTGACAGATATGTGTCCACAACAATTCCTGTAGGCACCCACATTTATGGCTGGTGTATGAATAGATAATAAACGACAATTCAAAAGAGATGCAGTTGCTGTCAATTACTCTGCAATATATTAACTGTGAAATAGATGGGTTGAAATGGAGTTTAACCAAATTGTTTTTTCTAAAAAGCTTAATAACAAACAGCTCTTAGAGGAAACTAATCATTATAAATAGATCATTTGATATTCCGGTCAATGCAAAGTATGCACAAATGTATAGAAAATCATCATCTTAACACTCTGGCTGATTAATGATTTACTTGACCAAATTGGAAACACGTGGCCTGAATGAGAAACGATATCCACATCAAACGCCTCACCTGTATGTGTGTAGAAATGTGCAGAAATGTCAGTTTGAGAGTGGTCCTCCGCAGGTCACCAGTGTCCAGTGGTCCGCTGTGAATGTCCACTCAGTTGTGTCTTCTCATGCTCGATGACAGATCCTTGTGAGCAGGAGGGAGGGAAAGAGCTAAAGAGAGAGGGTGTGAGGGAGGGAGGGATGGGGTAAGACTGCCGCATGCTCGCATCCCACATTTTATAGCAGGGTGAACCCTTTTGTGTGACGTATGCTGTCGTGGAGCCTCTGGCATTGTGTGTGAGGTTGGTGTTAACTGAGGAGTGATTGTTAAAACACACCCCCTCCCTTTTCATTATTTAGATCCAATGAAGGTGGCTTTATGATGATATTGTCCATATATCACTTTACATTATTTTTATAGGTATTTCTGTGCAATAATTGAAGGGATTCTGGGTCACCCCCCACCCCCCACTAAACAGCCTTTTAAGTGACTATTTGTGCAGCTTTTATGATTCATTGCTCATTTAATCCTTGAAGGTTTGCACTAAATGTGACAAATACATTCCCATTGAAGTGAAACTGAGACGTTCATCTCCCTGATCCTTCGCTCACTGCTGTGGACACTTGTTCCTTTCTATTTCTCTGACATTAGGCATGGACAACCCACCGTTCCTGCACCGTGGAAAAGACCTTGATATCACTGCCTGCTCTGCTATTGAATTCTGCCTGATTGGGCCACAAAAGGTAAAAATACCATATCCAGATTGACAGTTGAACAATATGTGTTTTGTTATGACTATGGTAATCTTGTTGAGCCATTCCAAGGGGCCACACATAAATTACAGCGTCCTAACTCACCTCTCTCTTACCACTCCTCACTCCTCTTTCTCCCCCCTTCTCTGCCTCCCACTTTCAACCTCCGTTCAGATAAAAAAACAAGTCTAGTTTAACCAATTGTCACTGTTCCTTTTACACCCTTCAAGTGTTGTTTCAAAGACGCAGCCTTCCATAAAAGTCTCTGTGTGGAGTAGGAATTTACATAATCCGATTAGGGGCTGGGATTAGCCCCGAGCCTGGAGAACAGGCCCGATGGGGGCCGTTTTCTGAATCGGCCATTCATGGGCCCCGCTGCACGTCCAAGAGGCTGCACCTGCAGGCCTGCGCTCTCTGCCTCCATCCAGCCTCCACTGCAGAGTCTGCAGACACACTTGCTGGTGTCAAATCTGTTCACTTTTTATCATACCTACAAAGCCAGGTTAAGATTATACCTGATTGGTTGTGATTAATCTATTATGCATGTTTGGGCAACAGCAGAATGATGAGCTAAGAAGCCCCATGTGATTTAAATGTTGCAAGTGCAGCGTTTTGATTTGCACACCGTGAGAGACTAAATGAGATGGCTCATAAAGCCAGTCTCATGAGGTCAGGTCTGTTGAATAACAGAGGTTACTGCTGTATTTATTATTGCACACTGTTTATAAGTGCAGACAATTCTGGGATACAGAATTTGTATTTAGAGAGGAGCAAGGACAGTTAGAAAATCATCATTGGCAACATTTATCTGATTCACTTCTGACCAAGCGGGACTATCGTTAACTTTGTGTATCCAAAATGTAAATCAGGTCTGGTTTTCATGTTTCTTTAAAAAGCCAACTTTTAAAATAAATATGTTTTCATTCTCCTAATAATAATCACTCAAAAGTTGCTATTGCCACTTGCAAAATGCAGGGAGATTTCTTGCAAATGGACTAATTCCCATCAATGAACAGAAACTCCAGCACCAGCAGATGTATTGTAAACACAGTAGATGAACAGACCTTGAATTGATATTGTTTACAAAATACAGTGAAGCCATTTTAAGCAGTCCAAATAATAATCATGTTGATTTGAGCCAGACTTTTATTATAGGCCAAATGCTGTTTGTCCACGAAGATGATGCAGGGCCATATTCTTTATCATGATGCAATGTTGAGAGTTGCAAATAAAGATCTTATTCATTCAAGATAAATGGATAAATCCTCCCAGTTTATCAAAGTCCACCATGATGTATTTGAAATCTATATATTGAGTTTAATATGTAAAAAGAGAAATGCAAGAACTCTCTGTATTTCAGAGACTGAATACAGCTACATGGAAAACTAATCTTAAGATTCATTATTTATTAAAAAAAATAGCTTATTTTTGTTGCAGCTCTACAGTGTTGGTTATTGTGTAAACAAACGTTGTGTTGCTTCGGCTGATATTGATTTCCTTCAGGGATGTGTCATTGGTCCTATCTTAAATCAGTTAGGCAAACAAATGTGCACCTAAGACACAGGAAATCCCGCCTCTGCTGGGGCTGCGTGTTTTATGTGTGTGAGGAAGCACACAGGTGACACAGTTAACTGCTGCCTGTGATGACAGATAACAGCTATGTGACCTTTACAGCTGTAGCATCCCAACCTAAAGGATAGCTTTGGTTTAAACAGCCTGTTAATTCCCACAATATCTCCCCTGTCCCATTCAGCCTCTTCTTTAAGGATAGTCGGGGGCAATTACTGCACCATTACGGCTGCTGTTTACCGAGCCTTCTTACGGGGGCTCCTTTGACCATCCTGCTTTTGTCCCTGTGCCATTAACAAAAACAAACCATTTACTCTGTCTCTTTGTTTGTCCACTGCTTGCGAGAAGGCAGAGGCCGGAGAGACAGAGCCGTTTAAAAGACAACAAAAAAAGCTGGTGGGTCATTGATGGTGGCTAGCCAGGCCTGGATGTGTCTGTCCAGAGGAGGGAGGCTCCGAGTCCATGTCCCTCGGGGTTGTCTTTGTCTGGGGATGGTTCCTCGGGGAGCTGGCTTCACTCTGCTGGCTCGTGAAGATAAGCACTCTCTCCACATGCTGAGAGGCGATGATAAGGGGATTGCTTCACTAAATGAAAAAAAAGAAGAAATATCCCCACCATTGGAGCTGCTAAAATGAGACGCTTTATCAGTTTAGCTGGGAAAGACCCTCTCGATCCCACTCCTCCAGCCATAAATCACTATTTGTTTTTCAGTAGTAGGCATGCTCTGTGTGGAGGAAAACAAAGGCTAAATGTGCCCACAGTTAAGTCCTATTTTGTAAAAATATTTGGTAGCACCTCGCTTATTTATTACTTAGAAGCAGTATATAGACATAGATTGTTTATAGCACCTAATAATCTATAAACTATTTAATAATGTGCAGTATTTTCAACATATACAATTTCATCTTTGAACACATTTAAACGTTTATATTGGCATTCATTATGAGTTTACACAGCAGCATCCGGTTGTGACTGTTTAACAGTACAGGAGAATAACAAGTAGGGTACAGGTGTTGAGGATAATAACAATACAACCTGTGGGTTTTATTTAAAATCACTAATACATATGTTATTAATTGGAAATAGAAGCATAACATTTTAAAACAAGCCATTATATATACTTAACATATATAACTTTACAAAAATATTATTAGAACAATAATAAAATGTTGGTATTTCATGTTTTTCCTTTACACACATATTTTTTAAAGACAAAAACTGCTGCTTAGGAAAAATAAAATGTATGTATAGAAATGGTTTCCAAAAAATGCTTGACGTAGAAACTTCTTGGCAGAACAAACAGACCAAGTCAAACGTAATTCTACCTGAACAAACACTTGAATGATGTATTTAATAACTTGAATCCGACAAAACGATGTCTTTACAAACAGGCCACAGGAACAAGGCATTCAAGTCATTTAGAATAATTTAAGCCTCGTCTGTCCATCACTTCTGCCGGGCACCTTCTCATAGCTTAACCTCCCCCTCTTCAGCGGTGTCATCACTGCAAAAGAAAAAAGGAAATATATCAATCTGTGTATTAACCGATTATGCAAAGAAAACAAAATGATTTATCAAGATAAACACAAAAGTCTCCAGTGTTCCTGGTGCGCTGTTTGATTATGTCATCCTGTTTTTGCCCTCTCTTTCTCTTAGGATGAAACTTGCCAATATGGCAATGTATTTATTCAAGGAGTCCTTTTTAGTCTCTTAGCTGGAGAAGAAGCATCAGTGGACCTTTAAGTCACATGCTTTGTCGACGTTGTGATTTATTCATCTGTTTCCATCATCCCCAATTTGCTTTAATGACACACCTAAACTATAACAATTAACACTCACCTGTTTCAATGAACCCTGCAGCCTCGCCCCTCCTCTTCCTCTCTTGTCCGATCCAGCATTTGGAGCCGTAGTTAGTGGGAATCATCGCGGTGTCTCTGCTGTTGGTGAGAAAGTCGTTGCTACTTTGGCCTTGACCCCAAAGCGTGACCTCTGCAGGGGGGCTCAGACTGTAGGGGACGTGGGGGTTGTCAGGGTGATGGACACTGTAGACCGGCGAGTTCCTGGACATGTGACTGTGGGCTGGCTGCTGCATGGCGTTGGGGTTGAAGCTGAGGGTGGAGTCCAGCTCGAAAGGACTTTTGCGTCCTGGAGTATGGGTGTTGAGGATTGTTGGAACCTTTGGTGTCCACTCACTGTTTACTCTTCCAACAACTCTCCCCACGGCTCCAGTTCTGCTTCTCCAGCCGGAGAACTTCCCCTCCTCCCTGTCCTCCTCTCTCCACTGACCACTGCTGGTCCAGCTCCTCTGGGGGGGGTGGAGGTCCTCTTGGCTGCTAAAGGAAGTACTCACGTCAAGTCTAAAGTCTGTGTGGCCCTCCTGCATGGAGTCTGTGTTTGGTTCACAGAAGCTGCGATCGGCTCCGAACAGGAAGCTGCTGTTGCCGTCACTACAGAACAGTTCTGGCTGAGGTTCAGAGTCGTTGTGCTCGGGGTCATCAGTGGTGGTCCACAGGCTGTTTGGGGGGCTGGGGTGTTGTGTTGTCTCAGTCAGGACCGCCTGAGACTCCATGTACAGGGAGGTGGTGTCACTGAACAGCTGAAACCAGGAAGAGAAGAGGGCAACATTAGAGATGTCACTAAAAGGTTTACATTTTCCTTACTGTTGTGGAATATTTTCCAAGGCCCATAACTTTGACCCAGTGTATCAGTTCAAACTGTCCTGACTGAGCACAGGCACCTGTAACCTTGGCTGCTGTGCTCTCAGTGTTCTGTCTCCCTGTTCCTGCCTGTTGGCGTCAGCTGATAGAGGTGTTATCATTCTATCTTGTTATGCAGCATGTTGATGATGCTCTCTGAACTAGCTAAATACATGGGTCTGGGGTAGAGTTCTTCAGAATTGACGTGGCAACTCTACCGTGAAGTCAGAACCTCTGACTCTTGGACTTGTGATGTGAATCCTCCGGCCGTTAACTCCAAATAAACCATCATGTGTTTGACATCAAAGCTACTGCTCCTACAGTGTCTCCTTCCTGAGTCGGTGACTCCCACTGCGTTGCTACACAGAAGTTTCCTCTACACTTACTATGAGATATTTTAAAGTACTTCAATTCTGCTGCTATCAATCTTTAGGTGGAGGAGTGACAAATGATCAATTGATTAATCCAGACGATGTTGCAGCCCTGCTTCTTTTTCAAAATACCATAAATGAGTGTTTCATGTTAAATGTATTAACGTGACATGAGTAGTGTGAGTAGAGTGGCTGTTTCATGGCTGTTTTCGCCATCCAGAAAACCAAACAGTGCATTGTATGACACGACTGGTCTGATAATCAGACTGACTGTATACGCTGGAAAACTACGTGTTATCATTAAGGAATGTATTGATCCGATAAACCTCTGGGGAGCTTTAAGGGAAAAACACCATCATACAGTATACGGGTGATTTATAAGTGTGGTTTTATATTTCTGATCACCTTGAGGACTTTCTGTGGAACCTCAGGGAGCAGCTCCTTCAGCTGAGACAGAGGGGCCCCCAGGAGCCACTGGATTGACGGGGCTCTCCTCAGCATCAGCTGACCCACCAGAGGGTTAATACAGGGGAACTGCAGCAGGCACTTCTCCTCCTACAGGGAGAGAAAACCAAACCACAGCAGAAGACAAACTCATGTTGGAAACACTTCTCTGGGGTCAGGGGGTAAACATGAAAGCCATCTACTGTTAAAGGTGGGGTAGGTCATTCACTTCAGAAACACTTTTTGTTATATTCCATGGAATGCTCTTAACATCCCGATGATCTACGATGAATATATTAAATGCTTTGACAAAAACTCCATAACAAAATGTCATCAGTGGAAGCCGCAGTACTGTAAAAAGCACGACCAATCATCTGAGCCGGCCCGGCTAAATAACTGGATGGCCTACCTGCCTGTCAGCCTTCCATCTGTGCACAAACTTATCTCGTGCCCTCATTGGTCATGTGAGCGTTCGTGTGTGTTGGAGGAGGGGCTCTGTAAGGAAGTCTGAAGGAAGGGGAAGATTTTTTCCGGCTGCGTACTTTCAAATTCTAGCGCACTCGAGCTGGTTTCTCCATTCTTACCTACCCTGCCTTTAAGTTGCAAGAGATTTATATGAATATAAACATGTTTTATTCAGCATAAAGGCCTACAGGTCTCAGAACTGTTTCTGTACTCTACTGGGGC